GAGTAAGCAATTTTATTTAACGAATATTAGTTATTCACAAGCTATGATATCTAAAATACAAAAAAGATGAACATCTTACTCTTTGACACCAAATCAAGTCATGAGTACTGCAGTATCCTAGTAGGCTCAACCAGCGGTTTAATCTAAATTTTTTAATAGACAAATGTTTATTATAATTTCAAAACACAAACACGCAGACCAATTAGAGGGAAACGAAGTAGTTACATGCCTGAAGGAAGTAAGCAAAAGTAAATTTGCAAGAGAAGATCATCAACCAGGAGAGCGCATATCTGCAGGAAAAAACTATCTCTATCACGAAATAGTAGCCATAAGTTCAGAAGTATATAATCATTAGTAACAAAAAGGAGGATGGTCACAAAGGGTCAAAGAATTTCAATGTTTAGTCTCCCGAGTTCAGTTTACGAATGGAGACCAAATTAGAAGACCAATTTAGGAGTTGAAACTAATGGAACTAAAAGATTTACGAATGGATACCAAATTAGGTCTACCATTAACAAATTTCCCAACAATAGAGAACAATAATTGTTGATCCAGCAACATAATTTCATCGGAGGTAGAAAAAACCGAGGGATTACCTTTGAAGGACCAATGTAATTTAGGTGGAAGCAAGACATTCTTATCAGACACAATATCCACAAAGTTTTTTCCGAAACCGAAGCCAACATAGAATCGGACAATTAAATGCATTGGAGTGAGATTCTGAGAATTAAAGAAGAAACCTAGCGTAGAAATAGGGAGTATTCAAAATGTATTATAGGGAGTTCTATTACCCTAGAGTGTTATAGGGAGTATTAAAAATGTATTTTAATCAAGGTGTCCTAAGTTCTCTTTACTGACACTTCTATAATTATGTGTCCTTAATTAGTGTCCTTGTATCTAGTTTTTCTTGTAGTGTTTTGCATGTAATACATGCAAAAATCTGACCATCACTTTTTTATTAACTAATTTCTCCCCCAAATGCATATATGGTTTGCCTTAAAGAATATAAATCATATTATTTATATATATATATATAAACTTTTGTTACATATCATTAAATATGTATTATTAAAATTTTTAAGTATCAACATCAATAATATTTTTAAGAAGCAAAGATGATTAAAGATTATTTTTAATGAACCCATTTTTTTAAAAAATACACAACATAAAAAGCACATAGAAAAAGTAAAATTTCAAAAACACATACTAAAAAAAGTATAATTTAAAAATAATTAAAGCATAATTATTAATTTTCCCTACGATCCATGTATCCCAGATAACGGTTTTGCTGGCGACATCCTCTACGGGGAGTCTCTTCTAAGGGACGTATTGGTGGCAAGACTTTTCAATCACCAACATTCAATTTTTCTGGAAAATGAACGGTTTAATCTTACCACTGTAACAACTTAAATATCTCTGAACAGAGTATTTTTTTGGAATAAGATCATCTGCAAGTTGTTGAGAAGAATGATACACGCCATGAACATGCACACAAGGGATTGCATCTGCAATCCATTGTCCACACGTGCAAATCTTAGTAGCCAAATCTACCATATAATTGTACGTAGTACCTGGATTAGAACGAGAAGTGTGGCTAATAATATACTGATAGTTACCATAATTTGTAGCCACCCACCCGTGCTTTGTCTTCTCGCGGTGGTGAAGAATTGTTGTAATTTTAGGAGTTGTGCTGATGTTCTTGTGCATCCATTGAACAACAATCTTGTGCCCTTTTTGAAATGATTCAATTATTTTGTTGTAGGACATCTTGAGTATTGCCGTAACTAGAAACATTCGACAACCTTTGAGCATGTTAGAATATAAGAAACATTTCCTGGGCCACAACCACAAGCTTGAACTTTTGGTTGAGTTGGTTCTTTAACATGGTATCAGAGCCTTCTTGACTAAGAGGTCACGGGTTCAAAACTCAGCATCACCCAATTTAAAAAATTAGGGTTTCACGTGCAAGGTTCGAAAAAGACTACGCCTGCACGCGAGAAAAGCTTGAACTTTTGGTTGAGTTGGTTCCTTGACAGAGTAAATTATTAAAACTTTCTGAAATATTGGTTGTAAGAAGGGTAATCTACCTAAATAGGACTAAAACATAATGATTTTCTCAATATAGAAGCATATGTTTTATTTTCCCCCTTTGTCATTATCGATTAGTCATTATTCAAGGGAATATCGACTATCACTGGATATTATTCCTCTTATTAGACATTATTAAGTTTAAGTCCTACATTAGAAAATGACTTCTGTTTAAGTCCTATTTAGTGCAAATTTTTCTTGCAAGAATTCCACATCTACTTCCACCATCATAGTAAAGAGTTCATGTCTCACGCGAAATATTATTCAAGTACTTTTATGCAGCTATCTCTCTCTCCATCTCTCTTTCTCTTTCCAGATCATCCACTTTTGCACTACACAAATAAAATATTTAAAATTTCAATTTTTTTATTCTGAATTTTTAGTGATTACAAAAATCATTAAAAAGACATCTTCATAATTTCAAAAAAACATATTCATAATTCTTTAAAACATTTTCATAAATTTGAAAAATAATTTAAAAAAATCATAGAGCACACAGTTGAGAATATATAAACACAATCTTAATAAATCAAATAAAATAGAAACTACTAAAAACATAATATCTATAATCAATATTATTGATATCTAAAAGCTAAGTAAAATATAAGTAATAAAAAAATACATGAGAAATGTTGAATGTTATGTAGTGTGAAAATAAGATAAATTTGAAGAGTAAGTAGAGTTAAAGTGATTGGGGAAGGATGATGGTCAAATAAGATATATTAGTGATTATTAAGAAATAAAGGGGTTGGTGAAGTTGGATGGTTGGAGAATGTTGGTGGTTGTAAGATGGTGGGAGGAAAGTTGAGTTAAAGTGGATTTCTTGAAAAGTGAAAAAGGTGAAGTTAAAGTGGATCATTATTTTGCATGTATCACATGCAAAACAATTAAAAAATAAATCCACATGTATTACACACGATTTTTCTGCAAACTTTACTAACAATTTGACATATCTTTTAAAAATGTTTTTTTTAAATATTCGTATGTACTACGTGCCTTCTAAGAAATTTCAAGTTCCAGTTTAGGAATTAAAAAGTTTCTTTTTTCCAATTGAGGGAAACGACCTTGTAACGTGTGCGTGGGAGGAAAGTGGAGTTAAAGTGGATTTCATGGAAAATGGAAAAAGGTGGAGTTAAAGTGGACCATTAATACATGCAAAAGTATTAAAAAATAAATTCGCATGTGATGGGTATATCCTTATACCCGACCCGGACAACCGAAAGGGACAGGTCAAAATATGACCGGTCACTTTTATCTATCACCAAATGAGGTTAACTCTTCGATTGGGACGGGTCAAAAGTTGACCGGTCACTTCCACTAAAAAAGGCGACCGGTCACATTTTGGGCGATAGCCAAAATGTCGCCTAATGCTACGAAGGACATTCTGGTAGACCAAAGAGACGGGTTGAGCGCAAGAAATGACCGGGTAACCTTTCAGAGAAGGTGACCGGTCATATCACTTTACTTGGCTAACATTGGTCCAATCTCTTAGGCATGGTGAACCACGTCAGAGGTCAAGGGGACACCCCGCCGCTCATCCATCACGAGGCACACAGTGAAAGGGATGTTTGTCATTTTGCAGGGTTGATTGGATTGAGAGTATCCATTTTAGTCTTTGATTGAACAGTGCTTTTTGGTTGTATTAGTAGCAAGTCCATGATTGTACAGTGCTTCNAAAGTTCACTCTTGAGATAGAGTAAGAAATATAATTCGGACTGAGGAGATTTACCCGGTCTAGGTCATACTTTGTGTTCTTGTTGTGTGTTTTATATTACGGGTCGAGTGTGTCCAGGTCAAACCCGGTTAACCCACCCCGCTATATTTACACCATCAGCATGTATTACACGCAATTTTTTTGCAAACTTTACTGACGGTTGGACATTTCTGCATCACTCAATGAGAGCAGTGATAAAACCATGGTCAAATCTAATAGGGTGCACATGGTGTACCCCATAAAATCCAGCCCTCTGTAATTTTAAAGAACCCTGGGGTCATAAAAAAAGTAGGGATGCGACTATGATATCGCACTGAAATTAGTTTATTGTCGCAAAACTCCTTATGTTTCCATACTCGACTAGAATGATGAATATTCTGCAAATGTAACATGTCATGTATTCTAGTACCAGCTATCTCTCTCCATCTCTCTTTCTCTGTCCTGATCATTCATTTTTGCACTACAAAAATAAAACAATAAAAAATCAATTTTTTTTATTCTCAGTTTTTAGTGAATACAAAATTCATTAAAATAACATCTTCATAATTTTGAAAAAACATTTTCATAAATTCTTTAAAATATTTTCATAAATTTGAAAAAATTAAAAAAAATCATGGAGCACACAGTTTAAAATATACAAACACAATTTTAATAAATCAAATAAAAATGGATACTAATAAAAACATAACATGTATAATCAATAATACCTAAAAGTTAAGTAAAATATAAGTAGAAAAATGTTGAATGTTATGGAGTAGTGCGAAAATATGATAAATTTGAAGGGTAAGTGGAGTTAAAGTGATTGGGGAAGGATGATGGTTAAAATAAGATATATTAGTAATTATTAAAAAGATGAATGGGTGGGTGGAGTAGGATGGTTAGGGAAGGATTAAGATTGTAACATGTGAGTGAGAAGAAAGTGAAGTTACAGTGGATTTCTTGAAAACTGAAAAAAGTAGGATGAGGTGCAAAAGTTTTTAAAAATAAATCCACACGTATTACATGCAAATTTTATGCAAAGTTTACTGACATTTCTGCGATTTTTTTTAATAACATGCGTGCATTTCAAGTTCCACTTTAGGAATAAAAAAATTTCTTTTTTTCCAAGTGAGGGAAACGACCCGAATGAGATTGGATATCATTTCACTTGTATAGTTCGATCCAAAAGTCTTTTCTTTTTCAAATTCTTTTGTTTCAGGGTTTCAAACACATCCCATTTCTTAACAAATTTCAGACCTCTGTTTGCTCGATCACCAAATGCTCTTTTGGTTGAATCTCCCGCGTTAAAGACAACGCGTCTTGTGTCCTTAACCATGAGAACCCCAATCTCATTGGCCTCTATTTTGAAGATCAAAACTCATTTCTGTTGGGTTCCAGGATTCCACTATTCATCTTCTACACTCTATCATGGACGAAATATGAAGCACCTTAGGGTCACACATGTACTTCAAGAACCGTTAACGTGGGTTGAAATCCGTTCTCTGGGTGGAACCAAGTCTCTTCATTCGCTCATCAAACTTGTTTCCACCGTGGAACAACCAGTTTTCGAAACCTTCAACAATGTATTGTCCAAGTACGTGTCTTTTGGGAATGTGCACGTCGCTAGGGAGTTGTTTGATGAAATGCCCCATAGAAACGCAGTGTCTTACAATATGATGATTGCTGCTTACAGTCGATATGGGGATGTAAGTGAGGCATGGGAGCTGTTTTCTGAGATGAGGAGGTTTGGATTTGAGCCCACTCAGTACACATTTGGGGGGCTGTTGTCGTGTGAGTTCTTGGACCATCATCGAACAGCACAATTGCATGCTCTGATTGAAAAGACACCATTGCTGCATATTGATGCTGTTGTAGGGACCGCATTATTGTCTACACTTGGGAGATGCGGATGTTTGCATGAGGCCTGGCAGGTTTTTGAGAGCATGCCTAGAAAGAATTTGGTCACATGGAATTCTATGATTCTATTGCTGGGAAAACATGGATTTGTTGAAAATTCCATGAAAATGTTCATTGAAATGCTTAGGGGTGGAATGGATTTGTCCGAGTACACATTTGCTGGCCTTCTGTCCTGTTTTGTTGGGTCATCTAGTATAGAATTAGGAGAACAGGTGCATGCAGTTGCACTGAAGCATGGCTTGGTCGTTGCGGCATCAGTTAAGAATTCTCTAGCTAACATGTATGTGAAATGTTCTTGTGCACACAATTCATATAAAATGTTTGAGGAAGGGACAGTTAAGGATACTGTTTCATGGAACATAGTAATTGGTGCAATGGCAAACAGTGACACACCGGAGAAAGCATTGATTGCTTTCTCGGAAATGGGTATGAATGGATTCTCTCCTAATGAAATAACTTTCATTAATGTTCTTCATTCCTGTGGTAGGTTAAAGAATCAATCACTCGGAGAAGCTTTTCATGCACAGATTATCAAGAAAAGGCATGTCATTGATGTAAAAGTTGGCAGTGCAATGTCAGGCTTCTATGTTAAATGTGATAAATTGGAAGACGCACATCGTTGTTTCAATGAAATATGTGAGAAGAATATAGTTTCTTGGAACACGTTGATGCTAGGATATTCAAATAGGGGATCTCCTGATTCTATTTTGCTTTTGCGGGAAATGATTCGTCAAGGTCGTTATCCCAATGAGATCTCATTTTCTATTGTTATAAAGGTGTCACCAGTGGCAGAACTACTGCAGATTCACTCATGGTTGGTAAAGACGGGTTACCTTGATTATTCTTATGTATCGAGCTCTCTTATATGTGGATATGCCAAAAATGGGTTAATAACTGATGCTTTGAACTTCTTAGCTGTTAATGACATGCCACTCGATGTTGTCTCGACTAATGTGATGGCAGGAGTATATAACAGAGCTCGTCAGTACGATAAGACTGTGGAGTTGTTTTCTATACTTGAAGATCCTGACATCATATCTTGGAATATTTTGATTGCAGCTTGTTCCCGAAATGGTGATCACAAGGAGGCTTTTGAATTATTTGGACACATGCAGAGAGCTTGCGTCTTTCCTGACAATTACACATATATTAGCCTATTCAGCAGTTGCACTGTACTTTGCAACTTAGGTTTGGGAAGCTCTCTTCATAGCTTACTTATTAAGAACAATTTTAATTCTTGCGACACATTTGTGTGCAATGTCATGATTGACATGTATGCAAAATGTGGAAGCCTTGATAGTTCAATAAAGATATTTTTTGGCATCACCATAAGGAATGTTTTTTCATGGACAACTATTATTTCATCACTTGGCCTACATGGGTATGCTCACGAAGCAATAGAGAAATTTGAAGAGATGATAAAGGATGGTATAATGCCGGATAAGGTGGCCTTGATGTCAGTTCTTTCAGCTTGTAGGCATGCAGGGTTAGTTGAACAAGGGATGTCATTGTTTAGGGAAATGAATTCCAAGTATGTGGTTGAACCGGAAATCGATCACTATGTAATTGCTGTTGATTTGTTATCGAGATACGGTCATCTTGTAGAGGCTGAAGAATTTATTGCTAGGATGCCTTTCCCTCCCAATGCTTTGATATGGCGTACATTCCTTGATGGCTGCAAGAGGAAAAGAGCTATGTTGAGCTTTAAAAGCTGTTAGTTTCACATTTTAGAGATCTGTGAAACTTTTTGAAAGAGTTTACAACCCACAACAGGAAATTCTTAATATTCTATGTTCTTGCTATGAAGGTATGCTTATTAATTATTATTTTTTAATATAAAAAATGTATTCTCATACTGCAACTTCAGATTTGTGCAGACAATTGCTACTGTTCAATCTTCTGTGTTTTATTAATAATTTCAGTTTGGTATTTGATTAAGTTATTTGAACTATTTTATTGACAGATACACAATGGACGAATTTGGCATTTCATACAGCAACATTACAACAACAACCCAGTTGAATCCCCCAAAAGTAGGCTCTGGGGAGGGTGTGTGTATGAAGACTTTACCCCTACTCAAAAGTAGAGAGGTTGTTTCCAAAGAGACCCCCGGCTCAAGCACCACAGGTAATCACATACGCAACTTGACCCCTATGTTTAAAGATGACCGATGATGAGCGCCGCAAGTTGCATTGACTAACTGCTACTCACTATTATAAGAAGCGCTAACAGTTTAAAGAGTCATTTTGCTTTATTCCATCTTATGCCAAAGCCAAAAAATAGTGATACTTTGGCTCCATTGGAGATGATGGAAATTTTTCTTTGCATTTCATCATTATATTATTTTCCCTTCCGAATATTCACACTGTTTTTTGAAATTTATGAATTTACATACATGGTAATGGTTCTCAAATTAATATATTGACTTTTAATTCTCTCATGAGCAGCCTTTGCAAGAAGAGACTAGTTGGAAAAGGTACAGTGTATACATATTTTAGAAGCATTGGTATTTCGCCAGATAGCACTATGTATACTAATCTTATACATGCTTTGATTTAAGGATGATACTATTTTTCGGTAAACTGGTTGTTAAGGGATATGTGTGGGAAAAGATTAAGGCCATAGATTATGTAAAGAAGAAAATTTCACGTTTGACCCCGAGCTAAGGTATCATACACACGAAAATGGGATCAACCAGAATGGTGGAATTTACAGAACCTGACAAAAGTTTTCTGAAAATGCCTCATTGTTGCGTAATGTTATGGAAAGGAGGAGGAGAAAGATCTGAAATTTTGAATTAGTTAACTGTGTGCCAAATCATTATAGGCGTTGATCTGTCACATTATCAAGGTATGAACCACATAAACAAAATTCACTGTTTGCAATGATCGTGGTTGTGAAGTTATCCCTCTTTGCTCTTATACTGACACTTTCATTACAGAAATCAGATTTCTGACCAGATTATTAGCAATGAATGATTTTTTTCCTGGGTGACCTTTAAGTTAGTCCTACTTCAATATCCAGGACATAGGAAGTGTTGCTCAAAGAAAAAATGTTACATCCTCTACATGGGGTCTGGGTGGTGGATTACCAAATGCAAGGTAAAATTATTACCTTGCATAAATTGTAATCATCTGATAGTCCATTACGAGCTTCATTGTTTGCTTTGATTGTCGGTTATGCATCTGGATGTGTTGTCCTCTTGCACTCTATTGGGGATTCCTTTAAAGAAACTAGCTTCCTGAGCGGATCTTAGCAGCACTAGAATATCTCCCTAGGTGTCCTTTAAGCAGGACCATAAAGCTGAGGTTGTATCTTTGAATATTTTTAGATTTGAAGAAATAGAGGATGGTTCTTATGCGTGAGCCAAATATAGCTATTCTTTGGGGAGAATCAGTGGCTGGAAGTAAGGAATACACACACTTGCACCTCTTGACCAGAAATGAGGAAAAATGGATTGCCCACATGGGAGGAACATTTGTGTAAGTATCAACACATGAATATATTCAATATATACAATTTTTTTGTTTTTTTTTTGAGCACATAAACTCGATGAAGAAAATCCATTACTTTTGAAGCTCAGGAATTGTTCAGGAACTTGCATTTTTTCCAAGATTCACTCTGTTTTATTTCTAATGTTATTCGAGTGGTATCTTTGAGGTTAGCTAGCATATAGGGATTTTCCTGAATTTGTTAATATTTTAAAACCATGTAACTGAAAAATGTTTCACAGTATCTTTTGGCACCATTCTTGATGTTTTGTATCTTTCCATCAATGCAGATAAAGGAAACAAAACAAAACCTAATAATAATATTTTTGAGTCAATTCTATGTATGTATAAATTTGTGCTGATCTCTTAAATTTGCTTAACAAATTTTCATTTCCAAGAGACAATTTTGAGTCTCATGAAGTTTTTTTCTTTTCTGCTTCCATACTAAAAAAGAAAATACATGTGCAATTTGCACTCATCTATAAAGCGCAAAATGTCATAATTGTGCAATATTTGTACAATTGAAATTTGTTTCATTTGTGACTCTGTTCATGCTTCATTTGTTTAATTAATCGAGGCCCATTCTGTAACAATAGTGCTAGAGTGAATGTCAAGTGCAAATACCACTTCTATTTTCATACTCCATATTATTCTTCCACTTCTATTTTCTCTCTCGATTTCCTTAACAACACTCATTCTATTCCTTAAACTGGTAACACTATGTTACCACATAGTTGAATATATGGTAATGCCTTTATTACCTAAAGTCTAAAAGTTTGACACATACGGAGTATTGCTTCTTATACTCCCCCCCCAATCCCATTTGAAAGTTTTGTTATGCAGTTTTTTGTTGTCCCATTAGAAAGTTTATTTTTTTTCGTTTCACTTTATATCACATCAAACCAATGCCCCACTCCCAAATTTAAACCACCTCCGTTTCTTCTACTTTTTATCACTTTTCAACCCACCCCACCACTTTTCAATCACTATTCCCTTTCACTTTTTGGTCACATCAAGGCTCAATATATCCTTCTTAAACTCCACGATTTTCTCTTTATTAACTTTCTCATGACCGGAGGTAGTATTAACTCCACGATTTTCTCTTTATTAACTTTCTCATTTGTGTACAGTTCTTTCTCACCATACATTTTTTATATACTCCGTATTTATTATTATTTTTTTAATACAGAATGGGGCACACATTTTCATTTTTGTATTAAATTTTCTCAATTTTTTTCCTTAACCGACACTAAATATGAAATGGAGGGACTGACCATCATTTTGAGCAACCAATGTATACTCTGTAGCACATGATTCAGCACATTTCTTTTCGATTTAAATAACTTTTCTTTAGGACGAACTAGAGAAATTCTTCTAGGACAAATCTGAAAATGTCTTGAATTACTTTCTTAATCAGCTCAAATCATTCAGGAGACACCATTTCTGGCTATTTATTGCACCAAATATATGGCATAAACATTACTCTTTCTGACCAGATAAAGAAATGGAGTATTACAAAGAAACATATCCTTTTGTGGTTGGTCACACGTGTAAATATTTGAATTGATCGGACTTGATGTCTTGATTCTCGTAATTTCTTTGCTGTCACTTGCTCAGCATTTTATGCATTCGAAGTCTTCTTGACCCTCCCACTCACATGCCACAAACAATAATTATCCTTTTCATCAAATTTACAACCCTCCCCCTCTTACTTCCCCGTGAAAAAACAAAGTCCCCATTTTAGCTTCTTCTTTGATCCTACCTCCTGCAACATTGCTTCATTAGCTCTGCAAATAGAATAGAAAACAACAATGGCAGATAAGAAAAGTCAAGGAGATGACGGAGACCTCAATTTATCAGAAAATGGTGACAGATCGGATTCTGAGTATGAGGAAGACGAGAGTGTGTATGAAGAAGAGGGCGATGGCAACTATTATGAACAAGAATCTGGAGAGTACCGTCAATGGCCTCAAAGTTTCAGGTGTGTCTATGTAAATCTGCACTCTATTTGCTTTATATTTATGCAAACAAATGTGCACAATCTATATGGGAAATGATTAGATTAACAAGTTTGTACATTAAAAATTTACATTAATGTGAAGCCCTTAAGGGTAGTGCATTATTCAATTGGGACCCAGGTTGATGTGAAAGTAGTGAGACTGGTAAAACCGGCCCGGACAGGTCCTGTACCGGTCTGGTCCCCTGTCCTAATATTTTTCTTATTTGGTCCGGTCTAGACCGATGGGCGAGTGAAATTTATTATTTTTTGATAAATATGTTTTTTGAATTAGTTTTATAATACGAATTACAGTTTTTGAACTTTTTCTCATTTTTAATGGTATACAGAGTATTCACTTTCAACAACAACAACAACAACAACCCAGTTAAATCCCACAATAGTAGGGTCTGGGGAGGGTGTGTGTACGCAGACCTTGCCCCTACTCGAAAGTAGAGAGGCTGTTTCCAAAGAGACCCCTGGCTCAACGTCGAAAGTTGCATTGCTTGACCAACTGCTACTTCATTAATTAAAGAAGCGCAGACAGTTTAGAGATCCATTTTGATTTATTCCATCACACCCCAAAGCCAAAAAATAGTGAAATTTTGGCTCCATCGGAGATGATGGAAATACAGAGTATTCACTTTAAAAATTAAAATTTTATTTGATGTTATATTATTGTTTCTCATATTTTATTTTAGAAAGAGTCTAATTTAATATAATATACTACCTTCGTCCCATAGTATTCTTCTAGTTTGACGAAATTTAATCATCAATTAAATAATACTCCCTCCTGTCCCCAAACCTTTCCTGTTTTGACTTTTTTGGTCAAACAGGGACACTCTTTGACCATAAATTGTGAGAAAAGTATATTTAACTATAATAACAACAACAACCCTGAAGCTAACCGCCATTTGGCCCAAGCCACTCCAACCCGATGTCCAACATCCGCATCTAACTCCCCATCCGCCTGAATTACTGAGCCAAGATAACGAAACCTGTCTACCTTAGGTACTAGGTGAGAGTCAATCTTGACTTCCACCTCTGATTCTGTATCCCGGCCACTGAAACGACATTCCATGTATTCAGTCTTGTTCCAACTTATTCTGAATCCTTTAGTCTCAAGGGCAAGGCGCCATAATTCCAACTTATCGTTTAGTCCCTCACGCGTGTCGTCGATAAGCACAATATCATCCGCGAAAAGCATGCACCATGGGACCCCGTCTTGAACACCTTGAGTTAGAACGTCCATCACCAAGGCGAACAAAAAAGGGCTAAGAGCAGACCCTTGGTGCAACCCCATCCCTACCGAGAAGGAATCTGAGACGCCCCCGGAAGTCCTTNTTACCTTGGTCATAGCCCCATCGTACATATCCTTGATCGCGCGAGTGTACACGATGGGCACTCCTCTCGCCTCAAGGCACCTCCATAAGACCTCCCTTGGCACCCTATCATACGCCTTCTCAAGGTCAATAAACACCATATGAAGGTCCTTCTTCCTAGCCCTATACTCTTCCATTAACCTCCTCACGAGATGAATGGCCTCTGTAGTCGATCTGCCAGGCATGAAACCAAACTGGTTCTCCGAGATGCAAACCTCTTTCCGCACCCTATACTCGATAACTCGCTCCCAAACCTTCATGGTGTGGCTAAGCAGTTTGATGCCTCTGTAATTCTCGCAGCTCTGAATGTCACCTTTGCCTTTAAACAGAGGGACCAAGAGACTCTCCCTCCACTCATCAGGCATCCATGCTGTCCGGAGGATAACATTGAAGAGTTTGGTTAACCAAACATTGAAGAGTTTGGTTAACTATAATATAAATTCAATGTAATTGGGTTCATCTTAGTATATATTTTTGATATATCATATTTTTATATCATTTATTTATTTAGATTATGTTTAATTTATGGTCAAAGAGTGTCACTGTTTGACTAAAAAAGTCAAAATAGGAAAAGTTTTTAGGAACGGAGGGAGTAGTATAGTAATGCAAAAACAACTTTATTAGATTTATCATGTAGAAAATTTTCACAAAATCATAATATTGTATTAATTTGCAATACAATTTTTATTTAATTGACGATCAAAGTTTACCCAGTTTGACTGAAAATATCAAACTGAACAAATACTCTGGAATGCAGGGAGTATTAATTCTCATGATATCTAATGAAATTTATTATTGAAATTGACAGTTTTTAGTGTTTTACCTTGCTACAAGCTAGTAATTGTACACTTGTGAATTGGACTCTATTAATGAGAGGGATAGAATAGTACGCAATACTTCAAAAGCAAAATTAAAAATAAAAAAAATCGGTCCTGGTCCGGTTTTAGGCTAATTCGGTCCGCTCTTCGGTCTTGGGAATCACCCTTATTCGGTCCCGGTCCAGTCCGGGTTCGGACCAATGCTAGTGGCTACAAGGTTGGAGATTAGTTATGAGTCCACATGTTATGTAGACCATGAAATTAGAATAAATGTTAAGCTGGGATACAGATGTAAGGGACAAACTCTGTTAAAAATCTAGAGTTGATTGAGGCTTACTTAATTTGAGAACATATACATCTACTGGTCCATGGAGCTTCATAAAATTTTGGCGAAGTTTCATTGCTTTCATGTGTAAGGCTGTTTATCATTAATTTGTAATACTGGTGCTTTTTTTTTTAAATATAATAATTTCCAGGGAAACAACTGATATCTTTACAATTACTGCATCTCCTAGTATGGCATCCTGCATAATGCGTGGCACTAGTATTTTGTCAAGTCCTGACATCCACGGTGTTAGTACCTTGGATGCTACCCAGAGGGTTCCTTTGTTGGCCGACCTTGAAAATGCATTTCAAAGAAGAGACCCAGAAAGATCTTCAAAATTACCTACACGGTTACAACCTTCATATTTACAGAAGTCGACATTGTATAAGCAACCAACTGCAGAACTTCCCATCAGCCATGGATGTACACTAGTACAAACTATTTTCAATGGTTAGAATCATCAATTTTTAAACGTTTCTTTTGTAGAAGTTTTATAGCTTAAATGATTTGATGGTTGAGAGGCCCTGAGTTTCCAACACCTAAAAGAGCACGTGTCTGGTGCACAAAAAATTGATGTCTTCACCCATGGGGTGTAAATGAGATGGTGCAAGCGTCTTCCATGTGGGATTGCTTTGCTTTTCTTGAAGTCATCATTACTGAAAGTGTTATTCCTAGTTGACTGACATAGAAAACCTATGGTTAGAGAATAAAGTTGAAGTCTTCCTTTTCGTATTTATGCCTCTCTTTTATTAGTAGTATCAATCTTGTTTTTTTTGGAATGGTATGTGGGGCTCAAAAGAAGAAGTGCAAGTCTTATTGTAAACTTCCAAAAACATAAGTTAGCGAATTGCCTTTTTAGTTGGTTTTGTCTTTGAAGAGGATGTCTACTATAGAACAGGCATAAATGTTATGGCGGGTGTGGGACTTCTGTCAACACCATTTACTGTGAAGGAAGCTGGTTGGGCAAGTTTAGCAGTGCTTCTTCTTTTTTCTGCTGTCTGTTGTTATACAGCCACTTTGATGAGGAGGTGCTTTGAAACCAATTATGGTATCTGGACCTTTGCTGATATGGGAGAAGCTGCATATGGGAAATGGGGGCGTATATTAGTATCTGTAAGTAGACTGCTATATATGTTTAGTTCCTTCAATGTATATTACGGAGTATTTCTCAACATATATCAAATTTGTTTATAAATTGAAGTGTCAGGGTTGACTTATTATATATGAGTGCTTTAAGCTATATCAATTCTTGATTTGATGCAGATCATTTTGTACTTGGAGCTATATGTAAGGGTCACTTTTCTTAATTACTACCAACCTTTGTAGATAGTTGGGTTAAATTTGACATCAACCTAATCTCTAACTAACATGCTTTTACTACAGTCGACTTGTGTGGAATATGTTATTTTGGAGGGTGATAATCTTACCAGGTTATTCCCTGGAGCACAGATTGATTTGCCTGATTTCAACTTAGATTCTCAGCCCTTATTTGCAACCCTTGCGATTATTCTCATTGTACCGACATTATGGTTCAAGGATTTACGGCTGATCTCTTATCTTTCAGGTCCAATATAGTATCCTTTTTTCCTGGATGCAACCCTCTCTACTTTACATTTTCTAATAGAAGGATCTACTGTTCCATCTCACAATATTATTCTCTAATTTTTAATATTTTTTATGTTGCAGCTGGAGGGGTAGTTTCAACGGCTATTGTGGTTCTTTGTCTTCTACTTCTTGGTACAGCAGAGAAGGTAGGGTTTCACCATACAGGTCAAGTGGTCAACTGGAGAGGTGTCCCTTTTGCCATTGGTGTCTTTGGTTTCTGCTTTAATGGGCATACTGTTTTCCCAAATATCTACCATTCCATGTCTGATAAAACCCAATTTACAAGGGTTTTAATTATATGGTACGAACAGCAGCTTATATCTTTCTTTCTTTTTTTTTGGGGGGGGGGGGGGACTTTCACATG